GACAGACCCTGTGGCACAAAGCTGACCCAGCAGTGGGCTGCACACCTCAGTGTTTGCCCAGCTCCCTTTCAGGTGGTCCCTGCTGGGCTGTGGCTTTGCCAGTCCCACTGGCCAGGACCTGCTGTGCAGAGCTGCTTTCCGTGGTGTGTCCTGGTGCCTGGGGCTGCACATTCCCCACCTGGAGGACACTTCTTGGCCCTTGGTTGAACTTCAGGAGTATCCATCAGTCCATTTCTCCAGCTTGTTGAGATTCTGATGGGTGCTGGGTCATCCTCTGCTGTCTCAGCAGCTTCTCCCAGCGTAAAACAATTCAGCAAACTTGCTGAAGGTGCCATGGGCTCCATTCTTCGGGCTGCTATCAAGACGGAAAAGAAGCTGGCCCAGTACTGATGGCTGGGCACATGATCAGCCCCATCTCAGCTTTGTGCTTCTCTCTAGACTCTCTATAAAATCCAGAGTATCAACAGGTCCAATCACTTCCTCACAGGGCAGAGCCTATTTGCAAAGATCCACCTCCTTCAGGTACCTCCTCCAAACTCATGAGAAACGTGTTTCATCATTTATGTTTGCCCCAGTGTGCATTTCCTCTTCAAATACAGAGCTCTGGATTACAATGTAGAATCTGTTGAATTGTTTGCCTCTTCCTTTTCTCTTTCTGAAAATACCATTGTAGCACTGCACACTGAAACCGCCTCTCYGAATCATTTTGTGCCTCTGCAAAGACGCTGAGGTTGTTCAGCAAAGACTCTCCTGCACCAGGCACCTGCAGGGCCCCTCTGCTGCTGCCACCATCGCTGCCACCAGAGGCCTGCTGGGATGGGAATGGAAGCGGCTGTGATGACAACTCTCCTGTGGCTCAAAGCCAAACTCCCTGTTACATCTCATTAACCCCTTCTTTCCAAGTTCCTTTGTGCATCCGCCTAATGCCCACTGCAGGTGCTGGGGCACGGTCCAAATCCTCAGCTGGGGCACGTCCCCATCATGGTCTGCTCCTCCACCCCAGCCAGGACAGCTTTCCATCGTGGCAGCCCCGCAAATGACCACTTAAACCTCATCAAGGGTCTTCTTAGCTGCTTGGCAGGTCAGAGCAGGCACTGGAACACGCCGGAGCAGTCAACTCCAACCTCCTTCTAAGCCATCTCCATCCTCCTTCCCATCAGCTCCATCCTCCTTCCAGCCAGTTCCATCCACCTTCTGAGCCAACTCCATCCTCCTTCCCCATCAGTTCCATCCTCCTTCCCATCAGCTCCATCCTCCTTCCCATCAGTTCCATCCTCCCTCCCCACCCCAGCTCCCTCACACAGCTCAGGCTGCAGTCTGAGCCCCCTGGTCACCCCATGGACACAAGGACTCTCTCYTAGRGGTGCCARGGRASAASAGGCCAAATTCTTGTCAGAACAGCCAGCTCCTTCCTTAGAGAGCAGCCCTGCTTCCATCCCAGGCTGTTGTTAACACCTGAAATCTCAGGGAACAGAATCCTCCTTTCAATCCCAGCAAGAGCCCAAGACAGCCT